GTGGCACTGGTCAGCGTATCCACTGTTAGCGTAACACACCCGCTTTAAGGACACTGACTGCTATTCAATCTATAACAGTGAAAAAAGATTATTTTTAAATCCAAACTATTGTGACACCAGATCTAATTAGTGGCACTTGTCAGCGTATCCACTGTTAGCGTAACACACCCGCTTTAAGGATACTGACTGCTATTCAATCTATAACAGTAAAAAAAGTTTTTTGTTTTTAAATCCAAACTATTGTGACACTAGATCTAATTAGTGGCACTTGTCAGCGTATCCACTGTTAGCGTAACACACCCGCTTTAAGGACACTGACTGCTATTCAATCTATAACAGTAAAAAGTTTTTTGTTTTTAAATCCAAGCTATTGTGACACCAGATCTAATTAGTGGCACTTGTCAGCGTATCCACTGTTAGCGTAACACACCCGCTTTAAGGACACTGACTGCTATTCAATCTATAACAGTGAAAAAAGTTTTTTGTTTTTAAATCAAAACTATTGTGACACAGGATCTAATTAGTGGCACTTGTCAGCGTATCCACTGTTAGCGTAACACACCCGCTTTAAGGACACTGACTGCTATTCATCCTATAACAGTAAAAAAAGTTTTTTGTTTTTAAATCCAAGCTATTGTGACACCAGATCTAATTAGTGGCACTTGTCAGCGTATCCACTGTTAGCGTAACACACCCGCTTTAAGGACACTGACTGCTATTCAATCTATAACAGTGAAAAAAGTTTTTTGTTTTTAAATCAAGCTATTGTGACACCAGATGTAATTGGTGGCACTGACTGGGGAAATGGGCACTGTGAGCCTGACACAGAAGCTGGCAGCAGTGGCAGACAACTAAGTGCATTTACATTAGATAGAAAAAAAAAATCCAAAAAAAGCATACCCTTATCCCTAACCTAGCTATGCTTTTCCCTATCTTATGAACAGCAGCTACACTTTCCCTCCTCTTACTAAGCATGCAGCTTGAGAATGAATCTAAAATGGATGCTGTCCAGTAGGTGGGAGGGTCTGCTAGGGAGGCTGTGCTGCTAATTGGCTGGAATGTGTCTGCTGACTGTGAGGTACAGGGTCAAAGTTTACACAATGATGACGAATAGGGGGCGGGTCGAACCGTGCATATGTTCGCCCGCCGTGGCGAACGCGAACATGCTATGTTCGCCAGGAACCGTTCGCCGGCGAACCGTTCGGTACATCACTAGTGAGGGGTTGACGGTAAGAGAGCACGGGAGTGGGTTTGTTGTCTGTTAAAATTGTTAACGAATTCCATCCCTTCCTCAGGAGAAGTAATCATGAAATGTTCTTGTATTCTTCAGGAAGACCTGATGTGCTTATGGTACCCAAAAGTTTTTCTTTAATGTGAAAGAAGTGGAGTCTTGCAATGGTGTCCTTTGGCGCTGCTGCAGGTGCCTTGTTAGATTTAAATAGTCTGTGGATGCGGTCTACTAGTAAATCCAAATTAGTAGCCTCTGGTAGGATTGTTTTGACCATTACTTGGAAATATTGCAATAAGTCCAAAGTATCTAGAGTGTCAGGGATTCCCCTGATTCTCACATTGTTGCACCTGCTCCTGTCCTCGGAATCAACTATTCTTTCTGCCTGCTGATTGCCATTTTTATGAAGCTCATTCACAGTTTTCACCAGGTCTAAATGCAAAGATTCTTGAGCAGACATTCTATGCTCAACTTCCTCCATGCGGTGACCAATGTTCTCCAGAATTCCGTACATATTATCAAAATCTTTTTTAAAGTCTACTCGGAGGTCTTGCATTAGTTGAATTATTAAGCCAGACGACGGTGGCAAGTCCTATTAGGGTTATAAGTCACAGCCTTAAACCCAGTAGAAGTTTAAGATTTCAGATGAAACAGTGGCCATCTCAGTTGTGGTATTGGTGGCAAATGCTATATTGGTGGCCATATTTGTTGTGGCTAGAGCTGGGAAAGTACTGTCATCTATCTTGGTGGTGGCAGTATTACTGACATTATATTGTAATGCAGCTTGAGACATATTATAAAGTTCTTCTTCCATCTCATATTCAACAGGGCTCTCTGTTGCCCTTTCAACATCAGTTATGTGAGAGGAATGAGTGGCAGAGGCCCCCCCATCAAGTCTGACTGCCGTAAGGCAGAGGACCACAACAGGGATCGGGACCTCCTGCCGCCCGCCCCCTCATCTTCAGCCTGGTCTCCTTTGTATGATAGGGACCGGGCTGCTTTACATGTAAGCCGCAAGCGGCTAAAAGCACTATTTGCTCCGCTTGCGGGAGCTATTTCAACTCGCTCCGATCTAGACACATGCTCGGAACAAGTAGTACCGCCTTCTGAACTCGCGGCAATGACGGCTGCACTTTCATACGAGCGAGTATGTGAGAAGGCATGGGAAGAGGGTGGTGGTTTCCCCGCTGACACCAATTAAGTTTTTTGTGGCGAAATAACGTGGCTTGTGGCTGCAGATTGGAATGGGGAGTGTGAATGGGATGACACACTTTTACTCACCCCCACTGCAGTTTTTTCAATCTTGTTGGTAGCAGGAACATTTTTCTCTGGATTTCTTTGTTTCTGTATGTTAAGCAGAACTTCTTGCACAGATATAAGTGCTTCAAATATTTGCTGTTAGCTTGGAAATATTAATTTTGAAACACAATAGTCCCAATGTCCTAGGAGCTTCCCTAGATGGTGGCCATTCAAGGTGGTGGCCAAACTCCGCCCCACATTCTATGTTTCTAATTGTCTTTGTCTGTTAACTTACAGGGGGGTGGTGGTGGTGGTGTGTGTGTGTGTGTCTGTCTCTCAAAGGTGTAACTAGAAACCATGGGGCCCCTGTGCAAAAATTGCCCTTACATCTACCTCCTACCCCACACGTCCCCCCCAAACATGCAGACAAACAGATACACATGCAGACAAACAGATACACATGAAGACACACACACACAGAGACCCACACATACAGACAAACATAAAGACACATGTAGACATACACACATACACTCATATACACACACAGACATATACACACGTACACTCACAGACACACACACACTAACAGACACACTTACAGACACATACACACACACACTCAGACAATTACAATTACAGACACACACTCAGACACACACTCACACACAGACACATACACATTCAGACACACACATACACTTACAGACACATTCAGACACACATACACAAATTATTAATATTAAATGTCCACCCAGCCTCCCTACCTGGAGAGCTGGCATGGATCTGTCCCTTGGGTCCAGTGGGGCTTCAGTGCGGCGGGCGGCAGAGTTCCTGTCAGAACTGTCGCAGGCTGTCTACTGATGCTGGGAGGGGGAATATGATGTCATATTCCAGCTCCCGGCATCAGCAAATGGCGTGCGAGGGAGGAGAGCGGACAGAACAGAGCTCCCTCGCCACGTCTGACAGGAACTCTGCCTCTTGGGCCCCCCTATGACAGGGGGAACAGAGAGGGGGCGTCATCTAGGCGGCCCATGGTTGCAGCTGCAATCCCTCTGACCCTGGTAGGTACGCCACTGGTATGAGGGTGCTGTGTGTGTGTCTAAAGGTGCTGTGTGTGTCTAAAGGTACTGTGTGTGTCTGAGGGTGCTGTTAGTGGGAGTGTGCTGTGTTTGTCTGAGGGTGCTGTTAGTGGGAGTGTGCTGTGTGTGTCTGAGGGTGCTGTTTGTTTGTGTGGGTGCTGTTAGTGTGCTATGTGTGTCTGAGTGTGCTGTGTGTTTGTGAGCTATTGCCCCGTTGCCCCTCCTGGATCCGCCACTGCTATGGGATAGCACTCCTAGAACATCTTATAAAAAATAAAACTTAACTTTTATTGTCAATATTTATATCTTCTTTAACATATAAAAGTATGTTACCTTCAACATGTGGAACTTTAATGAAGCTGTTAGTATAACATTATAAAATAATATCTTTGGGTTATATTGTTCTGTTTGGGAAATGATATGGCACACATAACACACAGCTTATTAAATAAACCACAGGGAATACTTTCAATCTAAACAGGAAACAACGGACTGTGAATTTTGACGTGTGTACCTAGAGACAACATATCCATTATTACCAACAATAACAGTGATTACTGTACTTGTTGGGTATCTGCGCACACAAGAAGACAAGTAGTAATAAATCAGAACTGAGCAAATATTTACTATTTTTATGTTGTTTGCCACTTGCAATTATTATTATTATTATTATTATTAATCAGACAGCAAATTAATACAATTTTCAATTTTGTGTGTTACATAAATACAACTGTTTTAGCACATTGTCTGAATTAGATATGCTACAAACTCATTTATTTTTTTTGACACTTTCTTGTGAGTAATATTCTTCACAAACATTTTCACTGAATGACCATTAAAGTTTTTGAGGATACTGTTTAAGTAGGAAAAATAAAAAGGAACAATCATTAATGCGATATATATTCACATGCCGTTTATTATAACATATTCTGTTGTGACTGCTTAGAGCATGCTTTGACCAATGTTCACTGTTTGAACATGCCTTGACAATCTAGGGTTTATTGCATTATTGTATGTTTCCTTCAAGAATCAACACTTACCTACAAAGCTTGTAAGAAGTCTATCCTCATTACATTTCTTTACTAATTTAGAGGTATATCCATCTGACTTTCCCCTAGTCTTCAACCCTGTAAGACGACTCTTAAAACTATTTTGTTTTGGCTAGTCTTTCTCCTCTCTGTGTTAAACAAACACCCCAGAACCCTAAAGCACTTCAGATTGCTAAAAAGTTTCACGTGTGAAGAGTGAACCCTCTTTTTTCATTTTGCAAAAAGTGCAGGCTTCAAAAGAAATTGACACTTTTTAACTTAAAATTGTTACAACCCCTTGGCTTTTAAGCAGACAACAGGTCCTGTTACTTCCTGGTTTGGTTAGCTTAGAGGCAGCAATTGTGCAGAGCACCTGCCTTGCAAAGAGTTGCATTTGGAAGTCTGTGATTGGACAGCCACTGAAAGTCTGGGCGGGGTTAGGAGAGTGTTTCTAGAATTACCCACAAAAAAATGCATAATTAAATGCATAGAAGTTTTAAATTGGGGCATATCTACTAAACTGTGAATTTTAGAAATGTATTCAGTGTTTGGAGTGTCCCTTTAATTGTCATTTATTAACTCTGTCTGCTTCCTCTATTCTAATGCAATTAGTGCCTTCCTCTGCTCTGGATTGTAATTATGTTTGAGGAGGGTCCCCAATAACCAATTGTCTCCAAAACGATTGCAATATTTTGTCTGTTATTTTTAATAAGCCCGCATGAAAATTGTAAATCACTGTAGAATATGGTGGCTGTACATAAGTATAAATAATAATAAAGATGAAACATGAATTGTCAATTGTCCACACACCCGCACCCAAAAATATTCAAATGAGCCATTTGTTTATACATCTTTGGAACTGCATGCTGTCAATTATATGTGTTTGATTAAATAACTAATTGTAACAGATGGTACTCTTGCTTAGACATGAACCAGCCAGCAATGAGGGACACATTCTGACTTATAGGAAGTAGAGCGTAATACACTGAAGGCAACATTTATACACAATTATTTGGATTTTATTGCTAATGACCAAAAACAAAATAAATTCTTATCCAAATAATCTCTTTATTCTTCACTCTGTAAAATAAACATATTTTTTCAGATGTAATGATTATAAATGATCAGCATTGGGCTTTGGGCCATGTGGTATTAAACAATCAGTTGCCTAAATGACCTAACAATCTGTGCCACAGTACAGAGCATTCAGTAAGTGGGGCAAAAAGAAAATAACATGGAGAACGACACTTGCGACATTTTTGGACTAATTACCTTTAAAAAGCATTAAGAAACATTGAGAGATATAGAGAAATAATCATTATGTTAAAAAATATATATATATATTTTTAATTATGTTAAAAAAATATATATTTTCTTTGACTAAAATTAGCCACTGTCCTTAGATTTTGGACATGAAGCAAAAACAGGTTGCTTTTAAAAAAATTATATATTTAAAGGATCACTATAGGGTCAGGAACACAAACATGTATTTCTGACCCTATAGTGTTAACATCACCATCTAGCCCATCTAACCATCTAAATATATTAAAAATCTTACTATATTCAAGCCTGAAGCTGTAACTCTGCATGCAGTTAGATTCAGGAAAAACAAGTAGTCTGCTGACATGTGGTAGCCTGATCCAATCACAATGCTTCCTCATAGGATTGGCTGAGACTGACAAGGAGGCAGATCAGGGGCAGAGCCAGCATGATTCAAACAGGGCCCTGGCCAATCAGCATCTCCTCATAGAGATGAATTGAATCAATGAATCTCTCTGAGAAAAGTTCAGTGTCTGCATGCAGTGGGAGGAGATACTGAATCACAGGATGCCTCCATATTATGCCTCCATCAACTCTGAAGTCCCTATGGTTCACTCTGAGTGACTGCAACTGGAGGTGTTCCTAGCTTTCAATGTAAACACTGTATTTTCTCAGAAAATACAGTGTTTACATGAGAGAGGCTGCAGTGAGCTATAGTTCTCACCTGAAAAACCTCATTAAGCTGAAGTTTTTAGGTGACTATAGTGTCCCTTTAATGATTGCAGTGTTATTAGTTATAATTACTTCAGATTTAAAATAAATTCAAACTGAATTTCAGATATAACACTAAATAACCAAAATGGAAAAAAAAACATATCCAGCCCTTTTCCTGAATGATATGGCCAACAGTAAAAAATCTACTTATTACACTAGCATGCAGCCAATGAGCATCTACATGCACTGGGAGTATGAGTCGACTATCCACAATGTGTACTAATCAAACCATGCAGCACAAGAGTCAGCATCTGTGCCATATCATAGAAAGGGGTGGATTTATCTATATAATAAAAAATAAGTATTACCATGTAATGCACAATTTTCATGGCCATAGAATTATACATGGTCATTGATTTCTACTTTAAAGTGTGTATAGCATACAAACGTCTATTCCTGTTTAGGCACTCAGCCCCTCTTACCTCTGGTTATAAAGGTGATTTACAGGTCCAGCCCCCACTCTGCCCCCTTGGCTGAGATAATCAAACTTGATGATCTCAACCAATCCAATGCTTTCCCATAAGAAAGCATTGGGAGACTATCGCGCATCAGCAGCAATCAGCATCTCCTCATAGAGATGCATTTAAGTAATGCTTTTGAAGTAATGCATTGAAGTAATGCTTTTGAAGTAATGCATCTCTATGGGGAAAGTTCAACACCGACCCAGGAAGCCATTCTAGTGGCTATCTGAGTGACTGCCAATGATGGTGTCCCTAGGCAATAATGTAAACACTGCCAAGCCTGCAGGGTCATACTATACTCACTAGAACAACTACATTAAGCTGTAGTTGGTCTGGTGCCTATAATGCTGCTTTAAA